GGGGGTTTGTTTGCTTGTTATGTTTTTTTATTCCAGACTCTTTCCAGGGATTGGAGTTAGGCTGACTAGTATATCATTCCCTGGGTTCTCCTTTTTTAATAATATTTGTTATCTAGTTACCTGGTAAACTCTTAAAGTACGTACCATGTCTTACTGTTCAAATACTTGGTAAGTGGCACCATGATTGCCCCCATCCTCATTTGTGGAAGAGCCCCTAGATCTTATTTTGTAATATTTTAAGCTGTATAAAGAGAAAAAGGGATCATATAAATATTAAGGGAAAAATAGAAATCTGCAGAGATGAACATGTGGACAATGAGTCAAATTCACAGATGACTTAAAATATTAATGCGGACTAGTCAGGAAGCAAAATGTGAACAACTAATGATGGGCAGTAGAAAGATGTGCATTAGGAAAAGCAGCTACAAGGAGAAAAAAAGGTGTACCCTCCTGTTGTTTTATGTCCTTTTAATTGCCTTTCATGGGTTAATTCTTACCTCTATGAAAAAGGCAGACCTCAGGTTCTACGTTGAAGTTTAATATTTTGATGTATATAGTATTAATGTTTCACTGGCATCAATTTTGTATTTCAAATATCCAGTTTTGATATGGCAGAAAAAGATTAAGAGTTTTGCAAGTGACTTTACTAATTTTAAGGCATACTTATGAAGCTAATAAAATAATCAATTTGATTTTGATAACGTTATGGTTTCATTAGGAAGCAAGAAGGAAGATGTGTGAACTGTGTTTTTTCTCAAGTATAAAATCAAGACATTCTGTAGGAATCATGTAATTATCAGAACACTGTGTCAGCATCCATAATTGTGCATCTTACACAGTTTTCCACTTTTAGCTTGTCTCCTCTAGTTGCTGAACATGATAAACATCTGGAAGAAATGAGTGAACAGTTGCAATTCTATCAGGTATGAATCTTGCTCATATTTTAGATTGCTTATCTCTTTTCTAACAAATACAAATCAGAAAATATCTAGCTGTATGAACAGATTTGCATCTTGGACTTAATGCTGGCTTAATTGTAAAGTAAATACTTTCAGTTCTAGTAATGCAAGGAACTGCATCAATAGGAGCTGAGCTGATAGTTAGCATCTTGCACAGCAAGACCCTAATGCCCAAAGGAAAAAAAAAAAGAAAAAGTTTGCCTAGTCAAACACCAAGGCTTGCCATACTTTTTACATTATTATTATGAAAGTATAACAAAAACTGGCTTGTAGGGGGTTTTTTCCCCCCTGTACTGAATACCGATACTACCAGCTTTCAAAAAAAATTATATTTTGGTGCAGGATGGCTGTTATCGTTGGTAATACTTTATTCCTTTAGTACCAATATCCTAGACCATGAGATTTAGTCACTGAAGGAAACAATATTGCTTTTTCAAAGACTTACCAGGATGCTGCTTTTTCTGAAGAGTGGAATAGACCATTTTATGAAAAGAAATTGAATGTGTCCTAACTGGCTTATATACACACTAGAAACTGACATTACGAAACTAAATGTGCTCAGTCTTGCCTCTTAACATCCTAATGTGGTTACAAGTAGGGGTGCACCAATAGGGATTTTTGAGGCTGATGCTGATGTTTAAGGAGGTATATCTGCCAATACCAATCCAATACCAGATACGTTGCTTACAGCAGGTAAGTCTGGTGTGGTAGGAGGAGAAGGGGAGCGAGAAGGGGAAGGGAAAGCGCGGAGCAGATCAAGGCCCCACCGTGAGGGACTGAGGCAGGGGCAGGCACTGCCCAGTCAGGGTGGATGGGCTAGGGATGAAGCCACAGCTAGTCTGGGGGGCATGGGATGGAGCAAGGCTCATCCAGGGGGCACAGGGGGAGAGGGAAGCAGAGGTGGCTCCCACCATCACGCACGACTGGTCTGGCAGCTCCCACTACTGTTGCTGTCACTCATTTAGGAGGGGTGGGGGGAGTGTACCCCCAGATCTGCACCGGGCAGGGCAAGCTGGGGCCAGGGCTGTTTCCCATGGAGCCTGAGCCACCCAGGCAGGGCATGGGATGGGTGGCAGCGCTGCCTGGAGCAGCGGAGCTATGAGGGGCTATAGCTAATTTCAGGGTGGCTGCAGCCCCCACTATAGCCCCCTTCCAGTGGCACTGCCCCTTGACAAGCCCAGGCTCCTCTGGGAACTGTCCTAGCCTCAGTGTGTCCCACGCAGATCTCGGGCCTGTTCCCAGCAGAGCCTGAGCTGCAGCCACCCCAAAGTTTGGGGTAGCCCCCCTCAACCCCCCTACTTCTGGCAGCACCACTGTCTGCCCTGCGCCCCTCCTAGCCCAGATCTGGGGGCA